AATGGAAAGCCTGCAGCTCAGGAAGGAAGAACCAGTAATCCAGGTTCTGTGATGCCAGTTCCTATGTGTTTTCCTCATAGGTAATTTTCTGTTTCGGGAGATTTCTGCAAGAATCAATGTTATGTTTTACCCAGTAAATTGAAATACTGAAAATATTCCTATATGCTTAACAAATATTTGATCCGTAAACTGAAAGACGCTTAGGAGCCTATCACCAAGAAGTTAATAAAATACCCCATTCACCACCGTATTAGGATAGACGTTTAAAAGGAGGCTTATTTATATCAAGAGATTGAACAGAATATGGTGTTCTAAGCCTCTGTCTGTTATTCTTAGAGAAGAGAGAACAAAAGGCTTGGAAATACAGCTCAAATCATACGTCCAGCTGAACACCTACAATTGTGTGTCCTCCCTGATCATTTGTGTGTGTTTATGTGTAAAAAGGGGAGAGGGAGAATGTGCGTGTAAAAACGTAAGTCAGTCCGGATATAATGTAGAATGACAGCATTTGTAAAAGGACTCAGATGCCAAGTCTCATTTATATTCGGTGGGAGCTGCGTGTACACTGATCTCATCAAGGTCCTTATAATTTTAAGAGATACTCCTCCCTGCACAACAAATGTAAAAGGCTGGTTCTTGAGAGGCGTTATACCTGGGAGTCATATCCTGCCCTGCCAGTTACCCTGAGCGGCCTTAGTCTAGTTGCTCCCCTCCTTACCCATCTTAGAGCAGATGGTACTGGTAGACTCTGGTCCCACAGGATCGTCAGCATTAAGTGAGATTCAGTTCGTGTATGGTTAGCGCTCTGTCTCTTCCATGCCGGAGACTGAAATACTAGTATTTGTTCTTAAATATTTCTAAGAAAAGCGAACACATTTGATGTACAAAACATATGAAATAAAAATTATTCACAGAGGGACTATGACAATTTCTACTTAGTAAACGAGAAGGGATTAAAGTTGTTTAAACTGTGTGGGAATCTATTGGCTACAATTTGTCGGTCTGGAATTGTATTTTTAACAAAGAAATCTGTTCTGAATGTTTAATGGAGGCATAAATGGGATGAGGCACAGAACCTCCCCAGTTCCTCACCTGGAGGGATTTACAAGGATTTGTTTTATTTGCATAATTGAATTCTTACACATTTGTACGATCTTAGCCTTAGAAGGGCGATCTTCTGATGCTTCTCCTTTGTTCTACATCTGAACAAATTGAGCCCCAAAGAGTCAGGAGAGTCAGTTGCTCCCTCGAAGGAGTTCCCAGCATTCTTGGTTTGTGAGTCTAATGGTCCTTGTATTCAGATACCGTCTGTGAGTTGTTTATGTCTACGTCTTTGTTGGTCCCTAGTTTTCAGCTCCTTGAGAATAAGCTCTGGGTTCTATAATAATGGAGAAAAGAGCATTTTAAAATATCTTATTTGTGCCTCCTGACAAACCACGAGGTTTGTATGCTTATTGATTCTCTTACAGGTGAGAAAACAGAAATACGAAGTAACTTGCCCCAAATTTATATGTATTTTATAATTTTACATTTTTATATATTTTATTTTAAATGTATTTTGTAGATGAGACAATCAAGTTTATAGTTGCTAAATAACTCGCACAAGGTCATCCAGCTGCTAACTTCTGTGTGTCCGTGCGATTGCTCCAGCCATGCCGCTTCCCTCACTGGCAGAAGGAGAGAATAGGTTCTTTTGGCCACACACAAAAACGAAGGTTATATGTGGAGACTTGAAACTTTCTGTAAGATAAAGAAAAGCCGCTGGAAATGTTCATGTTCGTAATTATGCTCATTATTGCTGTGTGCTACTGTTTTGAAGCTTAACTGTCTACCTGGTTTTGAGATTTGTTTCATAAATTGTACTGAAATACAAAGAGTGTAGAGATGAGGTCACGTGTATAGACCCCTCTCCCAGTACAGATACCAAATCCTTGAGATGCCAGAAAACAAAAAAAAGTGAAAAAGCAGATGTGGAGCAACAGTGGTGAGAGACCCTTGGGAGAATGAAGGTGGCTGATGCCGCGAGTAGGGGTGGGAGTCGGTAGCCTGGTGGAGAGGGGCAAGGAGTCACACACATAGACAGGCTGCCTGGTTGTAGCCTCCCTTCCAGGTGCTTTGGGCAGTTGGAGGCTGAGGACTTTAGTCTGAAACCGCAGGGTCCGAGCACACATGGGAGAAAAGCCTTCTTCACTATTTTGGGTAACGTGGGTTCCTGGCACAGGGCAAAGTGGGCACCAGGAACTCCGTGAAGGAACAACCATCACAGAAGTAATAGCACTTTTTTTTTTTTAAACCCCAACGGGATAAGGCGTGAGACGAGCGGGCAACAGCAGTGCACACCCAGGGTACAGAGCAGGTGTAGATGGGCTGGCTGGTCCCTGAGCTGCATCCCTGTGCCAGGTAGCTTCAGAGGGGACCGTGCCCCTGGTGGGCGATTCAGGATGCCGCCTTGAGGGCTTCAGTCCGTAAGCAGGAGGAGGTTGGGTTAAATGACGACTGTAGAGGCACTGTGAGCTGAGGCATGGGATCTCCTTTGCCAAAATCCATTGACAGAAGCACTGTCCATACGCAGCTGATTCCTGATCACTTCTGGCTGCAGTTAGGTCTGCTTTATTCACTCCATCCTTCCATCTGGTCTTAGCCGTCTAGGATTAGCCCATACACTGTCCGTTATTAGAATTTGTCTCCTTATCTTTTGCTGGCTGTTGTACTACTGGTAAGTTGTGTAAGTAGCCTAGAAGTTAACTCTTCCCTTAGGAAGGACTTCACGGGTACATCCCAAGTATGCCGTTCTCCCGTGTTCTCACAGCACCCTGTGCTTACTGGTATCGCCCCATTTTACACTTGTTTGCTTGACTCTCCCAGCAGACTGCATTCCTGGAGGAAAGGGTCACATCTTCTCAGTACATCACCTGGTACATAATAGGTGCACAAAAACTATTTGTTGACTGAATGACAAGTGGTCTCGTAGTTTACTTTGGAGCATTAGTTTTCAAACCCAGGTCTTTTGATTTGAGACATGTATCTATGGCTTTTGAGAGTAGGACTCAGTGTATGCATAGAGTTAGGGGAAAAATTTAGCAAGGTTGACTTTTTCTTAAATCCACCTACTAGAATCCAAGAGGATTTCTTTAATTGGTTTTTATCAGTGCTCCCAGATTGTTCCGTAATAGGATCAAGAGAGAATGTCAGGCTAGGTTTGGTAATAAAGAGTCGACATTGACAGATCTCCTGTGTAGCTCTGAATAATGGCTTACACGTTAGAAATGCTGACAGCTTGCTATAATTAGATGCGTTGCTGAAAAGCAAAGATGGAGTCTGGGCTTTTTTTTTCCTTCTAATTTGCTTATAATAAAATATGCACCATGTCTCCCCAGAAATTGGGATTGAGTTAATGGTGTTCACATATTAGGTGATCCCAAAATCATGGCTCAGCTGCTGTTGCTTCATTGACACCTGGACCAACTTTAATATAAATAAATGTGACCAGTTAACCACTTATTTTCCTTTCCTGTCAGCTGTCGGATTCTGGGTTGTTCTATTTGAATAATTTTATTGTCAGAAAAGCTGCTAGAATTATAGAAGAGTATCCCTTTGAGCCCCAAAATGAGGAGAGTGAAAATTGGTTGAATGCTTTCTTACGAAACTAGAAAAGTTTATGATTTCAGGAACAGGGGTGGGTTCTTTTCCCTAACTTACCCCTGGGGAAAACCCTCCTCTACTTAGCTGTCTCGACGTTTCTGGTGGGGTTACTGGGAAGTCTTAGATGGTCCAAAGAATATTTATCCAGGGACGATGATGACAAAAATTACTTCCAGGGTGAATTGTATAAATGATGAGATAATTGGGGGAAAAGTCTGATATAGGATGATGGTAGGTGATAAAAGCATGCATATGTTATTTTTTTAAGTGGATGGAGATTTTTAAGGTGGAAGAACAGAGCAGGAGTCTAGAAACCCGCTTCTAGACTCAGTCCCACGTCCTGTCCTCATGCTCTGCAAGACATACCACCTCTGCAGCTGACTCATCAGGTGCCTGTGAGCCCTGATTAAATGGCACCAATGCGACGGGCAGACAGGGGCCCAGCAGACGTGGTCTTCTTCCTTCTTCCTGTTGTTACTCTTCTTTTTCTTTTTTCAATTACTCTTTGTGTTACAGGCTGATCCTAAAGAGCTCATCAAGATGGTCACCAGGCACGTGACTCGATATGGACACGAAGCCTGGCCCGAGGACCTCGTGCCGCTGACCAGGCAGTTGCACTACTACAACGAGCGTCTCCTGGATTTCACGCAGGCTCAGGTCCTCCAGGGCCTGCGGAAGGGCGTGGACGTGCAGCGGTTCACTGCGGACGACCAGTATAAAAGGGAAACTATCCTTGGCCTGGCAGAGTAAGGGATACCTTGGTCTCATAAGGGGATGGGTTTGAAGTGTACACAAGCAAGCTGAGTGACCGGGGCTGCTCATCCCAGTCCGTTGAAGGCTTCCATCCACGGTCGCCATAAACAGGGCTTTCCTTCTTCCTTCCGAGCCTGTGAGGCCTGGGTGTGTCTTCCCAAATGGACCAGTAGATGCAGACAGCATTTCGAGCCTGCAGACTTCAATAATAAGGATGGGAATTATTTTTTTTAAAGTCTCCTCTGATTTTGATTGCTCAATACCAATGCCATGTTAGAGGTGATGGGTTACAATCACGGGTGGAAAGTGTGAAGCTCACAATAGAAATTTAAAAACAAGATTGCCCCTTATTCCTGGCCAGAATCTTATTTTTCTTCTACATGGTGGTTTAATTTCTTCAGTGTGTTAAGAATTGGGTACAGTTGCCTTAATACCAGAGGAAGGACCAGTGCTATGAGTTCAGGGCGCCCTTTTCTGACCTGAGTTTCTAGAGAAGGAAAAGCAAGCCAGCCCCAGCACTCTGTCTTGTTTGAGGCCTGTAACGGGGGCCGTTTCCCCCGAGGCCCTCGCCCCTTTCAAGAGAAAAGCAAGCCCTCGAGTGAGTCAGCAGCCCAGTTCCGGGCCTGCGGGGAGATTCCTTTCCAGGTACGGGATTTCCCTTGGGTTTAGTACTTGTAGGTCTTCCTTTTTTGTTTTAGATCAAATAAGCTGAGATGAAATGAGAATTACTTAAATGTCAGAAGATGGGAAAGTGAAAAAAAATTTTTTTAAAGAAAGCGTGTTCACCCACAGTGGTTATTAGGTTAGAGGTGTTTTGTTTTTAACACCCCAATTTGTGGAGGGGTTGTCATGGCCAACGAGCTGTGCCAGGTGCTCTGTAAACACGTTTTAATCCTTAAAGACAACCCCATGACATAAAACGCTGTTATCCCCATGTTTCAGCTGAAGAACAGGAGGCTTACTGATAGTAAGTACCTGGCCCGAGTTTACATAGGTGGTAAGGATCACAAATGAGACTTTAACCTTGATCTGTCACGTACGAAGGCATCACGTCTTCACCACACCACGTGCCCTCCCCACACTGCTTGACTGAATTCTCAAGGCAGCACTGGTGTGCAAGTCCGTCCAGACTTGCAGCCTTCGAAACAAGGTGAAATTGTGCCTACCTTAATGATTATTTCTCTCTCCTGATCAGTTACATTAAAATAACAGAGGTAGTCTTGGTTAAGGTAGTGGCGTATGCTATTTTCGTCAGTACTCTTAAATCTTTAAGAAAGTGGCAAAGTAGCCTTGGTCCTCTGTAATAATTTTGTATTAGCCTGGCTTCTTTCCTACTAGAAGACAGCCGAACCTCTCGTTAGAGGGAGGCAGGGAACAATAGTGGGATTCAGGGAAGAGGAGGAGTATGGGATCTTTCTTTTCCTCTTCCCCTCTGTTCTCCTGGAGGTTCATAATTTCATAGGGTCATTTAATGTCCAGTTTGAAAGTGACCAAAGCGATCATTTAATCCAACCTCCTTACTTTTGGAAGAGGAATCAGAACCACCGAGCTTTAAAGCATTATTCAAGGTCACGCAGCCAAGGGCTGAGTCTGGGCTCCCTGTTTCCAAGTTCAGTGGGCTTTTTCTTTGAGCATTTGGTAATCCTCGGTGCTATGCTCATGGTTTCTTAGAAAAAGGTTATTATGCAGAATGAAAGTTGGCAAGGTAGGGCGGGCCTGACATCATCAGTGACATTTTGCCAGGGCTTCTGTCTCTTCTTTTTAAAGTATCCAACTAGCATATGCTATCTGAAGTGTGTCCTAGAGGACAAACGTATGCTTTTGATAAATATGTAATAGGACCTTCTCCACAATCTGTTGCTTAGAAAAATACACAGTAGTCTTTAGATGGCTTGTTCAAAGTGTCTCGAAGTGTCCATGGTTTTCTGAGCTAGCAGTTCGGACTTGGAGATGGCGCTTTAGTGTCTTACATGCGAGAGTCCTTGAACCTGCTTCCTTCTGTCTCGCAGCCCCGCCTTCAGCTGTACAGTGTGGCCGTTCTTTATCTTCTTACTAATTGTATGTCCATTTTAATGGCCGTTGTTTTCGGTTAGTGCATTATGTAGGTGCCCTTTGTTGTCTGTACATCTTACTTAATGCATTCTCAGTGCTGGGGTGACTTTGAGGAGAACATAATGTAGTTTGGTTTCTTCCCACTTTTATCAGATGGGGAACATGGACACTTGGCGAGCACGTTCCTGGTGTCAGGCGTCGTGCCAGGTTCCCACGGTGGAAAGGATGGAGCACTGATGGTCCCTGTTCTCAGGGATCCTCCTTCCGTCCTGTGGGTGTAGCTACTCGATCAGTACTTCAAGAAATAATTTTTAATTGACAGTTACCCAATAATCCATGTGTTGACAGGCTTAACCCTGTCCTTGGCCTCTTTTTTTTTTATAGTCTGTGAGCAAAGACTGGCCTTTACATTTTTAAAGGTTTGTGGAAAATCAAGAATTAAAAAAAAAAGAGAAAACAATGGAAAGAAGGGTCCGCTGCCTGTGCTGCAGAGGCCGTATGGGGGCAGAGCTTGCAGGTCTGCCCTCTGACCCCGGGCAGAAACCTTCACCGGCCCCTGGCTGATCAGACGGACAAATGCCCTGGTTTCCTTAGCTGGGGTGAATATAGGCTTAGCAGTATTACTTCATGAAAATAGGTATTTCATTCCCATTTCTGTGGTTTTGTCCCCCATTCTTCCAAGAAGTCCATCTTTATGTTTCTCTACTTCTGGGAAATAGAATCCTGAAATAGTGTCTCCAAAATGGCCTTAGTGTAGGTGCTCCGGACCAGGATTCCTTCTATACCCAGAGGTTCTCAAATCTGGTGACATCATTCCATTCCCCAGCTTAAACTTTCCGCTGACTCTCCATTGCCTCTGGGATAAGGTGCAGTCCTGTGAGGACCCCATGCATTCCTGGTTGTGACCCCTGACCCTGTCTGCTTCCTCTGTCGGAAGCCCATCTGTCTCTTCCCGTCTTTACCGCCTCTGCTTGGTTAACCTCTGTATATTCTTCCGTCTTCAGTTCCAGTCACTCCCTCATCTCTATTCTCACAGTGTTTTGTAGACCTTTCTATTAACAGCTGCACCCCATTCTGTTTAATTTACTGGCTCACATTTCACATCCTCCATTAGGCTGTGAGTTCCTTATCTTGTTTGTTTTCACATCCTAAGCAGCTAACACAATAGCTGGCACAGTGTAGAGGACAAACATGTGTTGAGGGACTAACTGTGCTTTCTCACATGTCTACCTGTAGGGCAGGGATGCGTCTCCTTTACACTACTTTTTGGCTATAGCCTCGACACTGAGATGAAAATTTCTGATCTCAGTACATCTTGGACTGGATCATTCTCTGTTGCGGGAAGGCTGTTCTGTGCCCTGTAGGATGTCAGCAGCATCCTTGACCTCTACCCACCTGGTGCCTATCGCTCTCTCCTTTTCCTCTCCCACTGTGACCATCAAAAATGTCTCCGGACATTGTCCAGTGTCCCCTTGGGACAGAATCACCCTCAGGTGAGATCCTTCAATCTAAACATTTCCTTGGTCAGCAGTAATGCACCACAGTGAAAAGGGAGCATTGAAATTCCTTGGGTGTCCACAGTACTGGATTACTATGAAATGGCTTATTAAGGACTGTGCTGCCTGCACCCCTCTCAGCTGGAGAGCAGTCCTAGTGAACATTTTCTTGACTGATTAAGGCATTGTGTTTCTCTTCTCTCCCTTCCCTGTGACTGACGGACATTCTTGAAGGACACTGGAGGAGAATGTCTACAGCATTGCTCTCTCTCTGGCTCAGCGCTACAGCGTCTCCCGTTGGGAAGTTTTTATGACCCATTTAGAGTTCCTGTTCACCGACAGTGGGTAAGCACACAATGTGTATGTCAGTTTATTTCCATGTCTTTCTTTTTAGAGCCTATTTCAGAAGAATCTTGAAGTTGTGATGTTCTAATCTGACGTTCCCTTCCCAGCTGTGGTAGACCTGTGTCTCTGTATGGTCTCCCTCCATACATCACCAATACACTGATATTCTAATGATAATCGCTTAGTTTTTGTTTTTCAGTAACAGTCCTGAGTTAGAGACTTGAGCATTCATTCATTTATTCATAGATATTTATTGAGAATCTACTGTGTACTAGTATCTAACACACAGATAGTAGGGTTACAATCGTGAGCAGAGGTATACATTTCACCTGTCTGGGAACCTGGAGTCTAGTGTGGGAGACAGATTATAACTGAATAATGACATAAGCAAATGTGAAATTGAAACTGTGATGAGTACCATGTAAGAGAGCTGAAATAGAGGGTTTGGCATAGATAGGGAAGACGTCCCTAAAGAAGTAGCTCTTGAGCCGAGACCTAAACATTGAGTCAAAGTGAAGTACGTTGCCAGAAGGGGTCTGTTTTCCAGGGAGACAAAACAGTTAAGTACAAAAGCCCTTTGACCAGAAGGAACATGATGTCTGTGGGTTTGACATGTAAACGGTGTGGGTGAGGCCCTGAGTGTCAGGGGCGCTGGGGGTGAGATGGGGCAGCCGAGCACTGGAGACCAGACCTTGCAGCAAGACCGTCCAGGCCCTGTCCAGGGCCGTGGGCTTTTCCCTAAGAGTAACAGGAAGGTATTTAGGGATAGTGGTAGAAAAGAGGGAGATAATATGATCAGATGGCAGTTTGGTAAGATCACGTTCACTACCACGTTGAGAGATTTTAGAGAGACCAGCATAGACGTATGGACCAGTTAGGGAGCTATTAGAGTAATAGACTGCATGACAGGTGGTCATAGCCTGGAGTGGGGTTTTGGAAGTGCAGGAGAGACGAGAGTGGATTTCAGAGATACGTGGAAGGTGAAGTAGATGGTACAAAACACATTGATTAAAAAGGACAAACTAGATATGAAGGTGAGTGAAAGGCGCAGGATCAAGAATCAACTCCAGGAGTTTACTTGGTCTGTCTGTTGGATGATGACATCTTTCGATGAGACAGAAAACACAAGGACTCCAGGTATTTTCAGAGGAGGGTGAGGAAAAGGCAAAGGAGTGGAAAAGTTACACACATGGAAATTCCCAAGAGGGAAGGTCACCTAGACAGTGCATCTTACAGATCTGGAGCTCAGAAGATGGACTGGGAAATGCTAATCTGGGACTCATCTGCACGTACTTGATAAGTAAGCTATGTTGTGAGCGTGCTTTGGGAATGAATACAGAATGAGAAAGAAGACAGGACAGACCTTGAGGACCTTCCACAATCGGTGGCAGAGGAAGAGCTGCCAACAAAATGGGTAAAGAGAGCAACAGGGAGGAGGATAAGTGGGCACCTTGTTCTGGAAGCTGTGGGAGGGAAGGGTTTGGAGAAGAGGGTAGTACTGAATGAGGTGAACTCCTGCTGAATGATCAGACCTCTTGTAATTGATCATCTTTAATTTTTATTAATACCTTTGAAATTCTACCATCTATGTTTTAAGTATTTATGAAATTGCTAGTGGTAGTGTTATCCATGATAACTTGCACAGGCTTCACCAGTTTTGAGACATAGAAATATGTTCAAATAAATGTTTCTTATGATAGGCATGTTGGCATAAAAAAATCCTGGCATTTTATTAAGTATCTTTTTCCTTTCATTGAATGTTACATAAAAGGTTGTCATTTCTGTACAAATAGGATGCCCCATTGGTCTCTGAATATATTATAAATTATCGGGCAATCTAGTAATGTGCAAGACCGTTCATGGCGTGTCATTATACCTGATGGCAGTGTGATTATGCAGACGCGCAGCGATTACAAAAGCAGGAAATCGTTACCTCCCGCTGTCATTACTTGTGAGTGACAAAATGCTTAGTATTGATTTAGCAAGTGGTGTGTGGTGCTCCCTGTTCTTGACTTAAAAGGCTGTAGTTTGCCTTACTAATCACTCAAACTTGGTAACACAAGTATTAGAAATCAGCCTTGTTAATACAGTAGAAATTGCCCAACATTTACTTGTTGAATCAGTGCCAATGGGAAGTCAATAGGTCAGGATTACAAGAAAAACAATGTTCTTCACTTTAGGGTCTTGTGTTCCTGTCCCTTTAAAAAAAATCATCTTCCCCCCAAAGTTGATCTTTCTATAATTCTACACTCTTCTTCCTCTTGGTTGAACCTGGAGGTATTCCCCGCCCCAGCACGGGTCCCGATGAGAGAACACAGACGGGTGGGGTGCCGCGCGTTGTGCAGTAGAGCGGAAGCCGTCAAGTCGGGGTCCCTAGGGCAGACCCCGACTGTGTCTCCAGCTGCGTGTGCCTCCGCAAGATAATTCGGCTCTCTGAAACCCACTTTTCTTTACTCTGAGCGAGGCGTACTAAAAATTAAATGACTTCATGGTAAAATACCAAGCCTTCAGTACTGGACACATGATCAGGACTTAATTAATGGCAGTTATGTCTGGAATTTCACTCCTGCAGACAGAGATTATTGTCATAAACACCCAGACTTGAGTCCCTGGTCTCCTCTTCCCCTTATTTTTCCTGATTTTTTTTTCTTTTCCTTGGTAGTTTTAAACATCACTGTTGGCTCTAAGTGGCCACGTGTGCCTGGAGCCAGTTCCAGCCGAGACACGGCTCCCTCAGCCTCTTGGCTCTCCGGGGGCAGGCTGAGCTCTCCAGGCTCAGGGCTGGTGTGTCCCTCACTGCAGCCGTCAGAGCCAGCTTCCCCCCTGGGCTGTCTGGACACTCTGGTGGCTCTTAGAGGCAACGCGAACCACCGGTGTGCAGGTGGCCTAGTGTGAGGGTGTGGGTTTTGGAGTCAGGCCACATTTCAAGACCCAGCTCCGCTGCCCCGAGCTCCAACCGTGTGGCCGTGGGCCATCTCTTAATCTTCCTGAGTCGCCATTTTCCCAGATACGAGGACCACGGCCCCTTCCTGGTATTGTTGTAAAGACAGGGAAGCTCTGGGGACCGGGCAGCCTGGTGGCTCTTCAGTGCTGTCAAGGTCATTCCTGTCACTGTTCTTGCTGACTGCTGGCTCCACGTGTGTCTTTCTGTCTTGGATACTGGATCATTTTGAAATGCCACGGGAAGCCTGTAGCCGACAGAGTAGTACATTTGCTTATTCATTAAATATTAGTATTATCTTTTCGATAGTATCCTTGTGTTCCAAGCATAGGTTTAAACGCTGAACGAGACAGAGACATCCTAACTCTTGTAGAGCTTATATTTGATCGGGGAGACCCCTGCCCCCTGTCCCATGCTTCCCTCCCCCCCAACACACACACAGTTAGAAGCAGCTGGAAAGTAAATTGCTAGTGGTAGTAAGTACAATAAAGGAGACGCTCAAGGAACAAATAGGAAAGGCCTTTCTTTGAGTATCAAAGAGCACTTGATGAATTGAAGAAAAAGCATTTCAGGCAGAGGGAGCAGGCTCTGGGACAGGAAAATCCTGGGCATTTTTGAGTAATTAAAGGGACCCCATTGTGGTGGGAGCATGTGGAGCGTAGTGAGCGATGGAGGATGAAATAGGAGCCAGAAGTACCTTAGACTTTCGACCTTGATGGCACCCTCCTCTGTCTTTCTCCTTAGTTGAATAGCAGACCCGACAGCCACACATCTGACACCGTCATTTCATTCTCGTACGGAGTCGTAGTCACCCAGAGGGTTGATTACCCGAGTGATTTGGCTTAGGTGGCAGAGATCACGGTACCATCTTCATCTCTGCTGGTTGGTTTAGTGCGGTCTCTTTCAGACCCATGGGAGGGGTCTCTGGCCACAGAACTCTGACTGTGCTGTGCTGTTTTTCCCAACTGTCTTCAGATTCTCTAGTAGGATTCCTCTGGTCTCAGGTGTAAGTCTGGGCAAGAGCACGTTATAGCTGTGAGGAGAGGGGTAAACTAGAACGTATCTCCCTTTTTCTGCATTAGGGCAGAAGATACACAGAGTCTGTGCCTGAAGGTTGCTGTTGCTCACAGTCAGGTTTATGTCCAGACTGCCACACTGTAAAGAGTTCTAAATCCTGGCCTTTTCTTCTTGGCTTGGTTAAGGAGTTAGTGTGAGAATAGTTAGTGTGGAGAGAGGGAATTTAAGGCAGCTTAGCTTCTTAAAAGTATACCATAATGTTGGAAAGTAAGATAACTAAAAATTCAAGACCAAGGAAAAATCCGTATTAGAGTTGGAAGGTTGAATGTAGAAATTCAGGTCACCCTGTCACCCATGTTTTAAATTTAAGCCATATATTAACTGTTGATCTTTTTTTGGCCTAAGGGGCCGTGTTCATGATCATGACCTAGACTATGATTTACATGGCACATAAGAAGAAATCTCCTAATCCTAAAAATGGAAGAACTAATTACTACCATTACCAAAATGAAAGCAATTCTTTCTGCGTATCTGCAATCTTTCTTTCCAAGTTGTGATTCTTAAGGCCACTTTTCCCCCAAATAATAAAAAGTTCTTGACAATGGCACAAAATTAAGCAAAAAGATGCATTTGGGGCTAGTTTTCATCTTGTAGAAAGTGCTCAGTCTGTGATTCATGTGAGTCTGGGTTCAAACCTTGGCTCTGTGACTTCCATCTAATGTATTCTTGGTAGACAAGCTGTTCTGTCCCTCTCTCCTAAGCTTCCTCCTGTGAAGAATGAGTATTCTTACTCCATTTTGCAGAACTGCTGAGAGATTTGAGACATTTATGCAAAAGGCCTGACATGTTGTAGGTGCTCAGAGGGAAAAAAGTAGCTACTATGGTTAATTCTGTAAGAGACCAGATTCCCTGAACTTACCTCTGACCGTTGTCAGCCTCACATCACACATGTGAGTTTTGGATGATTATTTTTCAAGTCAACATGGAGATCAGTTATAAGATACCTGCTTTGTGAGAGTTAAGTGGGATGACATGATACTTGATGTCTGAGAAGTGCTCAGGAAGTGATGCCTATTGCTGTTTCTGTGTTGCGTTGTCTTTTAAAATATTTTTTATTAGGTAAGAGTAGGAGACTCTATATAAACTAGTCAGAATTGACATTTTATGGGACATGAAAAGGCTTAAGGGGTCAGGATTGTCCTTATGAAGGAGATGAAGCTTGTTGACATGACCTTCCATCCACGTCACCACTCTGTCCGTATAAAACGTTCCACCGAGTATCTTTGTGACAAGAAACAGACTCTGAGATACTCAGTATCATTTGCCTTATCAGCCATGTAGGTGGCCTTGCAAAGTGAAATTTCATTGTTTGGTTTGCAAAGACACTTGGCCAAAATGTTGGCAAAACTGAAAAATGGCATGATTGTTTTTGACCGTGTTTTCCCCGCATAACCACGTACTCAGCTGCCAGGCGGCACTGCAGAGCAAGCTGTCACTGTGGGTGCGTTCTGAGGTGTCTGTGTGGCAGATGTGCTGGACTGTTTCCCTCAGGCTGGAGTGGGTCTGACTGGGAGGGTGGGATTATTTCTTTCTACAGGAATCTGTGGTGGAGGCCTGTTCCCCTAAGGTCATGGTCACTAATGTGGATTTACAGATCTTCAGAATTTTAGGGGTCATCTTTGGGGGACACACTTAGAAGTTACTGCGTGTGCCCTGCACAGACCCCTCTCTGCAGCCTTTCCCAGCAGCTTCTCCCCTCACCTCCTTCCTCCTTCCCCGCGTCTTCCTCTCCCCTCTGTGTATTCCTTTTAGTCAGCTAATGGAGTTGCATTATCACTCATCAGACTGAGTAAAGAAGAATGCATTTAAATAAAATTGTGTCTCTATATGAATATAAGTCCTTTCAATATATGCTGTTCTTGAATCACATTTTGGGGTGATTAACAATTCGAAGCCACCACAGAACACCTTAATCATGGGATTAGTACTAATAATTTATTCCTTGTGCCCTTAGTACAACTAACACTAGTTCTTCCTGCAGTTAATCTCTGAGTTACATTTGCACTATATGTATATTTGTGTGTGTATATATGCATATATATATATATATATATATATACTTTTTTTTTGCCTTATAGCTAAAACTTAGAAAAAGCACTTAAACAGTCTTTAAGAGTAATTATTGATTTGGTTAGTGAAAAGTCCACAGGAGTTTCATGGTATTTCTTCCTACTCTCTTGAATGTAGATTCTTTGAAATTATTTTCTAAACAGAGATTTCATTTCTTGTTCCAAAGGAAAGATAACAGCTTCTTTCTATGGAAACTATTAAAGTGGGTTATTGATTACTGGCAACTATAGAAGATCTTAGCACATTGTAATTTACCGAAGAGGGAGGTTTTAGTATTTATCATGTGTCAGTAGAGGTATTCCAGTATCTCTCTTGACAAGATAATTAGGTAAAATTGCACATTGAGCAAACTGAATTGTAGGCACAGAAGAGGTGGGTGGGCGAGGGGGAAGGTAATGTTGATTGAGAGAGACTATATTGAGAATCAAGTCAAACATGGATTAGCTGAAGCTGTTATGATTTAGTCATTGTCTGTCCATTTTGTAGATGAGTCTGTCTTGGATACTCTGCTGATCGGGGTGATAGGAATGAAGTATGGCAGGAGAACTCTTTTGCAGGGGAAGAGAACCTATGTCTGTGTTACAGAAAGAATCCTGTTTTTGAAATGATTGTTAGTGCGGGCGCTTGACTTCATTGATCGATGGCTGCTCTGTGACAAGGCGAGCAGAGCCATGCAGAGTCCAGACGGATCTGGACGCGTGGTCTTAGGCAAGCCTTCTAACCTGTCTGGTGACATTTTCTCATCTGTAGGTTAGTAATTGCCTAGATTTAACTTGCCTGGCATAGTAATCAGTGTCATACGTGCAAGCTGTTTCTTTTTCTTCCTTCCTGCATCGGGCACATTGTTCTGTTTGTAAACCTTTGTCAGTCTGAATCATCTTAATGGGTTACACAATTTCTTATTTACTTCTTCACTACATTGTTTTCAGACTTCATTTGGCAAATTATGAAGGAACATCAGAAATTCTGTGGCTTTCCTCTGCCACGGGGTGTACAGTACAGTCACACCTCAGAGACACTGCAGGGTCAGTTGCAGATCACTGCAACAAAGCCAGTGTCACAGTGAAGCTAGTACATGACTGTTTCCCAGTGCATGTAAAAGTTACATATATATTATACCATAGTCTGTTAAGTTTGCAAAAACGTTATGGCTAAAATGTCTAAAAAAAAGTCCAGACCTTAATTAAAAGATACTTTATTGCTAAAAAATGCCAAAACAATATAAGAGTAACATCGAAGACCACTGATCACAGACAACCATAACAAATATAGCAATAATGAAAAAGTTTGAAATATTGCAAGAATTACCAAGATGTGACACAGAGACAGAAGTGAGCAAACAGTTGGAAAAATGGCACCATTGGACTTGCTCAACACAGGAGTGCCACCAACCCTCAGTTTGTTAAAAAAAAAAAAAGAAGAAGAAGAAGAAGGAGGAGAAGGGAGAAGGAGAAGAGAAGTATCTGTGAAGAGCAATAAAATGAAGGGCAGTACAGTGAGGTCTGCCCACGTCTCTCAGAGAAGGCGCTGCACACTGAATAGTGTTGGTGTCAGGAGTGGTTTCAGACCAGCTGTCCATTTACACTCACTGTTCCTTGTCCATGCCTTGTGCTTTCTTGTCTTTATACTTTTGTTCATATTATTTCTGCTTTGTTCCTTTCTACAATACCAAGCTCAGGTGCTTCTTTCATTAAGCCTTCTGTTGTCATTGATACCAACCTCCTCTGAAGTGACAGCTCTAGCGATCCTACTCTTAAGTGGAATATAACTGCATGCCCTTTGTCAGCCCATACTACTGTTTTTCATTGTTCAGTATTTTTAATGTAATGCAATTGGATTTTCAAACAGCCGGATGAGAGCCCTGTGTTGTAAATCTTTCCATCTTCCCCGTTACTGAATGCAGGGCTTTGGCGATAGAGGACACCTAAGTTTTTGTTCATCCACACGTCTATTTGGTGCCCATCTGTAAGGCACATGTTGAATGTTTCCTTTGTACCACACACTGGTGCTTGGTCCTGAGAAACTAAAGATCAAGAAGTCGTGGTATCATCTTTGCCATCACGTGGTACATAGTCAAGGGAGATAGGCAGAGTGGTAAATTGTCAAAGCATGTTATGAATAGAAGACATTCTCAGAAACTTTTATAGACCAGGGACATTTTTATAGATAGGGATATTTTTGTAAATGTTTGAATTGTGTCTTAATAGAAAAATAGGGTATCTCTTGAAGTGGAGATTAAAAAAGTATTTCTTAATTGCTTGGACTGTTGCTGTTATCCCAAGTTTTATCACATTCTCACAAAAATTTGAAAACACGTTTTGTATTAACTTTATGTACATAAAACAAAAACATGTGTGGACACTTACTGAAAGTGGAAATTCCAATAAACAGGGTACCATATTTCAGAGGAGTTGCTTCTAAACATTATGAAACCTAACTTTGATCCTGCCAGAGGCCTTACTTCCTGCTCTCAGATACTTTGCTGCTGCCATGAACCCTGGAAGGTGGGCATTTCTGTTAGTGCTAAGGGCTGCCTGAGCACCTCTTACAGTCAGAAAGTTTGAAACGCATCCTGTGTGGGGCATTGGGTTTACGCTGGGCAGGAGGCACTGTGTTCTGTCCGGACAGAAACAGAAGAAAAAATTAAGCCTTACCCCTT